CCCCACCACTTGCACATGCAGTCTTTAAATAGGAGTGTTTCTACTGGGACTCAAGTAAGTCAAGCAAGATGGTGTTATGTTTTTCACATTTATGTATCAGTATGTACGGACTGTGCACGCACACTTCTTTGCAGTTGACTTTTCCAGTTACTGACTGAGGTAATCTTTCCAAACAAGCCTAAATCTGCAACTTTACCCTTATACAATATTTTGTTTGTACATGGTTTCATTCTCTATAGCTCTAAAAGGTTTTACAGGTCTTCGAGTTGATTTTGGCCAAAAATAATAATAAATAAAATAAAAACAATCTACAAGCCCACTATTGAGCTTAAGGCACGTTTTCTGCTCTGCTGTTCCAATAATGCTGACTTACATCTACAGGGTATTAAACTAATTTCTTCAGAGGGCCATGTGGGCATTATGTGACCTTCAAAGGGCCTAGATAACTTTAACATCTCATGTTTAACTTCAACACAAAACTTCAACACCAAACACAAAACGTCACATTTTTTGTCTCATTGCTATGGCTAACTGAGCTCTACGTGGTATTTCATGCACAGAAACAGCATTACAATATGTCCTCTTTTCAGCCTGCAATATGGGAGATCTGGTTTATTGTCAGTGCTGGCTTTAAAGCAGAATACACTTATTTTAAGACATCAATACATCTTTGAAGATCCTGTGGGACAAATTAGGCCCGCAGGCCTTGAGTTTGATATGTGAAATACTGGTACAACTACTAGAAAAAGTTTTAGTTGAGAGGGCATGCCCACTGTGAAGTTCCTGCTATTAAAGCAATAGTTCTGAGGAAGTGTTAAAGTAGACCTGTTAATGACAATTCATTGAGCAAATTAAAGTTGAAAAATTAGACTGTAATTTTGATTGGAGCAACAAGCTAGCAGCTAGTCACAGTCCTGCCATTTTAAAACAACACCAACCTTAACATATTTATAATAGATCTGAAATGAAAACTTTTACATTGCCTTCAATTTCACATTAGAATCTTATAGTTATTTGAAAATACACACAGCATCAGCAATTCACTTTGGTCTTGACCCCACTCTGACTAACAACACAGTCTGGTTAGAATTATCTGTTCAGAGACTTCTCACAGTTCGCTTCTTTTGAAGTAGAGTGATCACTAAGTTTATTGAAAACATTGCTTTTCATGCAGATCTTCTGATCAACTTTCTGATAGTTTTCTTTTTTCCAACAAAGCAAATAAAGAAAAATAAATTTAAAAAATTGAAATTTGAAAAAAATAATTGAACAAAAGACACTTGACACTATTTAGCATTGATGCTGTTGTAGATGAAAGATGATCACCTCTTTCTATTGTTTGAAGGAATATATATAGTAGAATGTTAACATCCTGAATCACTGATATCATGAATCATTCAGACTAAGGGGAGATCTGAAAACAGAACAGGGAAATGTTGGGTGTCCAAACACCAGCTATATGCAGCTCATGCTGAGACTGACTCAGTGCTCAGAGTGGAGGGATCTTTGTGTGAATAATGAAAATTTGATGCTTCACATATTCTCTCTAGCTGACAGTTTCTTTTATGGTTCTCAAGGCACAATACATGGTTTGTGATTCATCTGAGTCATGCTTAAGCCTATAGAGAAAACCGTGGACATCGTTGGGATTTTATTGGGTGAATAATATTTTTGTTGAATCATGGGTTAAGTGAACCATGTGCCTTACCAGCTGAAAAGTGTAACAGACCCAATTGCATGATTTTATAGCATATAATAGTTTGTAGTCACATCCTTGTGTAATGCATTAGTAAAATGTTGGTTCTAAGAGGAAATAGTAAAACAATACTCTGAGTAAACATGGGTAATGTCCACCTGGTTGAGCTCTTCCAAGGGAGAAGTGGATGACAGATACAAATCATTGTTGTTCTATTTTAGCTTTTCTACACTGGCTTCCTGTAAAACTAAAAAAAAAAAAAAAAATACTTAGCACAAAAAGTAAGGAAATTTGTGTTTGGTAGATTATTTCTGTGTTTTTAACAATGCACCTTGGCAATAAATCTTATTCTGTTGGAAATCCTGGTAATTTCCCTTTTAAATGGTGCAGCATAACAAAAGGTACCACGTAAGAAACATGAATTTGTGCAGTGTTGTATAAAGTACCACAAAGTGATACTTCAGTAAAAGTACACGTATCTTACCAAAAAATGACTTTGGTAAAAGTTAAAGTCTTCTTTAGGAATATTACTTGAGTAAAAGTACAAGTATCTTACCAAAAACTTACTTTGGTAAAAGTTAAAGTCTTCTTTAGGAATATTACTTGATTAAATTTTTTTGTTCTTAAGTATTAAAAGTAAAAGTATTGATTTAAAATGAGCAGCTAGATTTTCTGTAATGACTATTAGGAGGTGATTTCCCCAAAACTGAATAAATGACTATATTGTATTAAAGTAATTAATTGATATTAAATTTAGGATGCACTAGTCCAGCTGCTTCTGTTTATATACAAATATAAAGGCTGCACAAACCTTTTCCCCAAAATAAAAATCTATCTGAGGGCTGCAGCCAAATGCAATAATATGAAATACAAATACTTCTTAAGTACAGTCCTTTTTTTAATGGTTATGTCCTGCTGGAGTGTGACATGATTTGTTTTTGTACAAACTAATACGGTATCAGAATTTTATATATTTATACTTCTCAGTCAACCACAGTTAAATTCACTCCATCTAGGAGGCACAATTTATATGGGTAGTATTTATTTTTTACAACAAGCTGGAATGAAAACAAGCAAAAATGAAAGTAAATGCTTCTTGCCTTTTTTAAATGTAAGGAGTAGAAAGTACAGATAAGTGTGTGAAAATGTAAGAAGTAGGCTGAAAAATAATTACTCAAGTAAAGTACAGATACCCAAAAATTCAACTTAAGTACAGTAAAGAAGTATTTGTACTTAGTTACTTTACAACTCTGCATTTGTGGGATGAGAAGCAGAGCTGAGTATGTGAGTTACTATGCTTATGAAAAAAATTACCAAATCCTCTCTCTGTTGCTATTGACACTTGTTTTGAGCTTCTAGTGCCCCCAGGTGCTGCCAATTAAGTGCCTGCTACATGAATTATTGCCAAGAAACATTGTTACAACACAGACATAATTCAATCCAGCTATTTGTGAAGCATGAAGTCACAACAAACGTCACCAGAATCAAAATCAGAAAGAGCTTTATTACCATTGTCAGTGATAAACGCAGACTAGGAACTTGCAGTTTAGAACATCCGTTCTATCCTTCTCGGGGCATTGTACAAAAAAAATCAATCAATCTAAGGAAACCAGCAGAATGCATTGTATCCCATCCTAAGCAAGCACAAACATACTCTCATACACATTATCTACCAAACACAAATTTCCTTACATTTGTGCTAAGTATTTAATATTGCTCTTTTTTTCTGTCTTATAATTAGGATCAAATTGTTCAAAATTTTCCTAACAGAGCACTTCATACTCAGATTGCAGATTTACTTGTAGTACCTAGAGTTTCTAAAAGCAGAATGCTTGTCAACCAACCCTAAGTTAACCAGTGTTTGACAGGTTGTAAACCGGTAAACAGAGGCTTCACTGGTTGCAGAAACTTTCAGGGAAATATATTTGGATGTCATCATCATAACACTGAAAAGCAGTGTACTTCTGATCCCAAAGGCAGCACTTATAATGACAGCAGGATAGGACCCAACATGGACTGTTGAGGTACACCACAACCAATGGGTGCACAAGAAGAGAGGTGTTTCCCTATAGATACAGAAATAAACCTGTTTGATAAGAACTAAAATGCAATAAAGCTGAACCTTTAAAACCAACATGTTCAGTCCTGATCAAAAAAAAAAAAAGGAAGTTAAATCTAAAAGCAATAAAATGGCAGAGCAACCTGAGTCAGCAGTTAGAAGATCATTAAAACCTCCTAAAAGTGTGGTCTCAGAGCTATGACGGGATTTAAAACCAGACCTGGAACTCTTCACAAACACCACGAGTATCAGTCATAAAGTAGGGTTGGCTTGGGATTCCTGAGCTGTTAGTTATGCTGCTAAAAGCTTAGATTGCTGGAGGACAAAATTACCAAATTTCCTCACTCAGCTGTCTTTACTTTCTCTACTCTCCATTTCTTGTAGATGTGCTTATCTTTGCTTTTAACCAGTGATTTTCTTACTTTTAGATCCTATGGAAATTACATCTAAACCAGTGTCTTTCTCTTTCCTGTACTCTCTAGTCACAGCTGGTTGAGGTAGATGACAACTTTTCCTGAGCCTGATTCTGCTGCAAGTTTTTTTCCTGATAAAAGTTCTTTCCACTGTCGTCAGTTTTCAATATGCTTCTCAGGATTGTGGATTGCATCAATCTGCTGCTTACCGTAGATAAATAACTTAATAATTGTCACTTCATAATGAACTGTATGTGAATGTACTGTATTACACTAGAAATGACTTGACTACAAATGGATTTGAATCTGTGTCAGAATTAGATTTAGGATTTGGGCTTTAGTGTCCCATGATGACTTTCACTGTGAACTGGGGTTATTTATAAAAGCTGAATTGAACTAAAAATCTAATAATCTGAGGAAAACAGGTAGTCTGTTGTTGGGAGCTTTGTTTTTACACAGTTGCTGAATCCGTTTTGAAATCCATTGCAACAGATTCAAACTGACTGTTGAACCTGTCTTGTCCTCTCTGGAATGGCAGCTCTTCCTTGTTTATCCAGTTGCCATAAAAACCCCAATCAAGCCACAAGTCAACAATGAATGACTCCAAACAAGCTGGATTATTGCTCTAATTAAGCTGTAATAAGCCCTTATTAAACGGCCGCAGGCCTCGTTAGGCGGTTCATTAAGCCATTTCATCTTTTTACTCCTTCATTAAGTCTCCTTTCTTCTCTCTTTTCTTTCCAGGGAGTGTGGGAGTAGTGAGGTCTGGGAGATCACGACCTTAATTCTCTTCAAGACAGACGGTTTAATTAACACTGCAGAATTCCTCACTGACTCCAGACCTCCACAATAAGAATGTACTGGGGGAATTGGATTGCACAGGTAAGGCACTATTCTAATGTGGGTTTTAGAGGCAATATGTACTAATTATCTCTAAGGTTACTCTCAACTGTGTTTACTGCCTCTATGAAGTAATTAGCTGCATTACTGACTGAATACAAACAGGCAAAATTAGAAATATACAAATAATTTAGCAATTTCTTTATATAATTATCTTGTGACACACACGAATGCAAGTAAATGCAAACATTTTTATTTTCATAAATCATTTCTTTAACTCTAAGTTTAATCAAACTGACTTGGAGCAAAAGCAGATTGCTGTTGTTAGTTAACTTTTATGGTGGTTTTCTTACGGTCAAAACAAACTTTTTAGCTGCAAGACTTCAAAAACCGATTCTAAAACCCCTGTGGGGGCTGTTTGCACTTTGAAACCGGTAATGCTAACCTATTAAATTCATGAACCCACCAAACAAGTCTGACAGTGGAAATGAGCAGAATGAAATATTTACCAGATAGCAAGCAGCCAACTGTGACTAACCAAATGCTTCAGAACAAACTCAGCAGCAGTTGTGCTTTGTGAACAAAAGTAAAATTAGTTTATATTAAATTATTTACATATTTGCTTTCCTTTTTTTAATTTTTCATTGTGATTTGGTGCTCTTTGTTATTGGTTTACTTAATATTTATATAATTTGTTTCATTACCCCATTCTGCTGTGTTCACTCTTAACAATGAACTGGTTTGAAAATGTAATGTTGTGTAAAATAGTGTTACATAAATGAAACACAAAGTGTAATATTTTTCTTCTTCATAGACCATATTTGAAACATTTATTTTGCGTTTGTTGTGAATGACTGACGAGGACTTGAGGAAAACGACTGCTCACAAATTATTCACCAAACATCTTTTAAGACTGTAATTTGTAAACTATACATTGATGAGCTTGTATGATTATTAGACTGATGAGCTAATGGCTAGTCCCAGACCAAAGTGGATTGATGACATAAAACAAGTTCAATTCCTTTCAATTTTATAACCCTTTAGAGAAATGGCATGCCATCAGTTTTGCATTAGTTATTGAATTATGGGGTTATTATGAACAGCAGCAGCTGGTTGAAGCACTTCTATTGCAACCTGGAGCCACTTCCTTCAGGATTTGAAAAATCAGTTATTTGAAAAATAACGGATTAATGCAAAAATGACAGTGACAGCTTTTAAAATGGCATTTGTATGAATCTATGTGAAATATTTGAGACTTAAGTTGTTTTAAGATGGTAGAATTCTTTGTTCTTGAACCAGTTTGGACTAACTTAGTTTGTCTTTGGCAACAGTTCAACTCTGTTTCTTAAAACTGAGGTTGTTCACAATGCTATTTTACAGCAGATAAAACATGCTGTCCTTATTAGCATTTGCTAATTATCATAGAATAAAAAAAAACAACAACTTGCAAATCAAAAGTGACAGGGCAGTAAAAGTTTATAAAAATAGCATTTGCATGAAGCAGAATAAAAAGTTTTAGATTGAAGCTGTTTTAAAATGTCTTGGCACCTTGGACTAGTGCTTAGCTTGTTAATCTGGTCAGAATTAAATTTTATTTCTTCAAACTGGGGTCATTTAATGAGCAATTTAAAGCACATTATTATTAGTTTGTATTTTTTCCCACAGAACCCTATTAAAACAAATCAAGCAAAATTGTTATTTTAAACCCAGTAGCTGTAAACAAAGCAATAAAGAAACTTTCTGCAGAAGCCAAGAAGTTCAAGACAGTATTTGATAACACCTGCGTGCATTTAGTGTCTGTTGTTTGTGTGGGGGGTTTCCTCCCTCTGGTTGGAAGATTTCAGATTAAAATCGTGTTCATGTGGGCCGTCTTCCAGTTTCACGTGCCAAAAAAGCAGCACCTGGCAGTGTTTTCTGTTACAGAAAGTCATACCCCTGGGAATCCTGTGGGACAGGTGTCGTAGGTCCTTCACCGTGACATTTTTTTTTTGTTATCGGTAACAGATAGGTTAACCCATCAAGCTGGACAGATAGGCAAGTGCTCCTGTTACATAGGGCTCCACTTCAGTGAGTCTCATTGCAGGTGTGTACGGTAACAAAGGTCAGAAAGGAAATGAATAAAATGTGAAAAAAAAAAGAAATAACTTTAAACTTTTGACTGAATGAGGTTAATTTGTGCTGCTCGAATTGTACTCGTGTGGTGGGGACCTAGATCTAATCTCCCTCTAGAATAAAGTTTTATGATGTGTTTTGAAGTTAGTTTAGGTGCAAACCTGTGCATTTTGGGATGAGAAAGGTCTTCAGAAAACAAGTAGAAAATCAGGTGCAGCCTATTCTATTTTTACCATCCCCTAAAGGAAAACGAACCAACACACACACAAAACCCACCTCACAGAGCCATGGTGTCTTTGCAGCTTAAAGGCTACGTTCACACTTCATCTTAATATTCAATTCAGATTTTTTTTTGTGCAAAAATCAACATTTTTTTGAGTGTGGACATCCACTTTATATTTTAAATGCAACCTCCATCGCACCCCTATGTGATCTCTACACCAGAGATTCTTAACCTATGGGCCACGGCCCAATTGTGGGCCCCCTTGAGGGCCTCAAAAGAACAACAGATTTTAACTTTGGGCCGTGGGACCGCATTGATTTTGAATAAGGTGCAATACACTTTCTCACCATTTGTAGAGTTTTCAAAGCTACATGTAAAGTATGAGAAAAGAACAACAGCAGAATATCACACATTCACAGAGCAAATTCACAACACAAATTATGTTTCTATGCTGATGACGTTTTCATTTTACCTGTTACAAAAAATGACTATATTTTAAACATTTGAGCCAATTAACTATGTAATAAACTTAAGCAAATTTATCATCCTTTTGCTCTAGAGATGTTACAGTTCAGACCTCATGTAAAGAGTTTAAAGAAAGAAACATCAAGAACATGCAAACAAAAAAAAAAACATTTGCCATTTCTATCATCTTTCCATTATCAGATTTTACAAGACACAATTTATTTTAGGATTACAGAATGTGAAAACCTATTTTATTATGTGTAATTTTTCAGGTATTAAGGAATAATTCAAATTAAAATAACTATGATCATCGTAAACGTTCATACCTTATTAAGCAAAGGCTGTTTTAATTGTTTTTTTCAGGTTCTACCAGCACAATGTACTGTTTGTATTCAATTTGTGCACCTGTCTTTCTTTGAATAAAAACCCAGTAAAAACAAACATCATTAACTCTCTTAAGATCATTTTATACTCAATTTAAAGTGAATAAATTAGCTCTCAATGACCTACATGTGCTAACATCTGTTTGTGGGCTTTTGTTTATGCAGAAAAAGCGCTCAGACATCATTTTGCTTCAACTATTCCAGAAGCTGGCTGTTGTACATTCAAACAACATGGTTATTTTGAGGAACAGTTGACAGAAGAAGTCAGAAAATCTTTACAACTCTTCCAGAATGTGTAAAGATAGTCCAATGGCCAAAAAAATGCAGCTTGAAAGCTCACATCTCATTTCATCTGTCCTTTACGTCAATGAGGTGTAAGTAAGCGAATCGATCCAAGTATTTCGAATATTGATACCAACCTGATGCAGTTTAAATCTTGTAGCTCCACAAGTCTTCAACTGTAGAACAGAAGTCCAGTTGCTCTGTCTTTTTCCTTTTAATTTTCCATGTCCTGGATGACTGAGAATGCACAGAAACATATGATAGTAACGTTGTGGGACTGGTTCAATACTAAAGTTACTGGATCGATACTTTCAGCTTGTCGCTCATGTTCCAAAAATATAAAAAAATTCTGCAACAAAGCAGCCGCCCAGAGGACAGTTCAAATGTAAACAGTGCACTAAACAAACATATCAGATAAATAATTATCACTGATTAATTATAATTAATCAGTTCTGATTGCACAACAACTTTAGAACCAATATGCTAAAATGTAGCATCCATGTCTGTAAACAGGGTGCTGAATGTGACGTCACGTCATTTTCAGCACATGTAGGTCACATCGTGCAGAGTAGGGGTTCTTAACCTTTTTGACCTCGGGGCCCAATTTGTTAAACATAAAGTGACACGAGGCCCAGTCACGCATTACCATATGGATCAAAATGATAATTATTCTAAATGTTGGTTTAATTTGTATTGTATTTGCATTATAACCAAATAAAATACACTTATAGTTTAAAAGTAAAACTCCTGTCAAATAATCACAAGACATGATTATGACAAACATTTTTTTTTAAATATTGTAACCTACCCATAACAATTATCTGAACAAATACAACAGTCAGTCAACAGACCACTCAGGCATATCAACACAAAAATAACCCATTCATCCATCCATCCATTTTCTGTACACGCTTTATCCTTTCAGGGTCACGTGAGTAACTGGTGCCCATATCCAGCAGTCACAGTGCGATGGGCGGGGTACACCCTGGACAGGTCGCAAATCCATCACAGACAAAAATAATATTTTTTAACATAAACAACAACAAAAATAGACAATTCAATAAATAAAATTGTGATCATAAAATAAATACATTTAAAAATATTTAATGTAAATGTTCCAAAAAAACTGTAAAAATAAATTTGATAAAGTGCAAATGAAAATAAAGCCTTTTCAAACTTTTGCATGGTAGAACCAGAAGCTGATTTTCGTATTAGTGTCAAACAATAACAGTAACAACAGCTTTTTGACAAAATTCTTAAAAATGAATTACAAAAAATAATTTGATAAAGTGCAAATTAAAATATAGCTGTATCTGCAACTGTATTTGATAATGTTTTGAACTTGTAGAATATTGCATGGTAGAACTAGAGGCTGCACTTCATATTAGTGGAAAAACTTTGGCTTTTTTAATGGGTTGCCTTCATTTTTGCCTTCTACTTTTAATTTAAAATAGGTTTCCATTCTCTGCGGGTTTCTAAGGTTCTTCTTCTATGTATTAAAAAAGTTGTTAAACATCTGAGTGGCGCACTACCACTACTAGTGGTGAGGGAGACAGTGGGCGTTTCTGTTGTGACCC